TTGCGATCCGTTGCCGGTCACAAAAAAAAAAAAAAAAAAAAAAAAAAAAATTATATGTGAATGTTTATGGCAGCTTTATCCACAATAAGCAAAACTGGAAACAATCCACACATCTTTCAATAAGTGAATAGTTAAACTGTGGAATATTACTCAGCAATAAAAAAGGAATGAACTATTGACACATGCAACAACCTGGATGAATCTCTAGAGAATTATGCTGAATGAAAAAGGCCAATCCCAAAAGGTTGCATACTGCATGATTCCATTTATATAACATTCCTGAAATAGCAAAATTATAGAAATGAAGAATAAGTGAGTGGTTCCCAGGGGTTAAGTAGGGCATGGGGCAGGAAGGAAGTGACTACAAAAGAGCATCAAGAGGGACCCTTATGGTGATGGAATGCTCTGTATCTTGACTGTATTAATGTTGATATCTTGCTTGTGATATTGCACTACAGTTTTTTGTAATATGTTAACACTGGGGGAAACGGTAAAGGGTACATACATTCTTTCTGTATTATTTCTCACAACTGCATGTGAATTAATAACTTCACAATAAAACGTTTAATTTTTTAAAACTGAATCATAAGACAACAGAATTATTCTTTTTGCAAGTTTTTTTCAATCCTTGCAATTATTTCAAGACAAGTCTTAGTCTTTAGGACTGCTGGGAGAGGCAAAACATAATGGGCCTTTCACATTTTTACTGAATATGCCAAGAGTGCAAGGTTCTGGCCACTCTCCACCCAGGCCATTTCTCAGTTGTGCTTACAGCAAGCAACCTTGAGGAATGAGATAATGTCCCCTTCCAGGACAAAGAGCACATTTATTCACAGCCTGCTATGAAAGAGGTAGATTCTCCAAGCTCAAGTGTTTTTGTTTTTGTTTTTTTTTCCTCTTCTATCCAAGTTCATGTGTTCTTTAGCCACGCTGCCACCTACTGAATGTGCATTCATTTAGGTTCCTCAGTATAAACCTTATAGGGTTGAGAAGCGAAAGCAACCAACACAAACATACTGTGCTATGTGAAGTCTTTTATCTCTGACACAGGAGTCTCATGTCTTCTGTCAGCTTCCATGAAACAGTAACAGGCTATTATGCATAAGCTTTTAAGTACTGTAAAATCAAATCCTGACTGACACCTCTCAAACATCTAATAGCAATCTCCCTTTTTAAAATAACAAGCACTGGACTCAGAGCCTTCAGTGGCAGTACTGCCTAATAACAATGTTTTGTTTTAATAGTACTTATTTTTACAGTTACTTTGCCAGTGGCAACTGTCATAGGATTATAAAGCTTCCTTATAGAATAAGTTAACTTAAAAATATTACTCTCTCTTGCTCTCTCTGCTTCCACCACCTTGCAATGTGAGACCCCTGGGTCACTGTTGCCACCACCAGATGGACTTTGGATTTCACAGCCTCAGAAACTGTAAGGAATAAATTTTGCTTTTCTTTATTAAAAAAAGTATTTGTATATGTATATTAAATAAACAACAAAACAGGTGTATATGCAGAAGGTACTGGCAGAATAACTAAAGTCCAGGGAACACTGCTATCTTCTTATCAAACTGAATTTCTAACTGAGGCCTACATATACCTCCTTTCACAGAAAGAAGCCGTTAACTGAAACTTTTTTTCACAAGGAATCCTTGTATCCATCCTCACCCCCCACAACAGAAATCTTCACAGCCGTCTGATCTCCCATGCCCAGGATAATATGAGAAAACACTGTGAAGGGAGTACACCTTCACAGAAAGCTTCATCGGACAGAAGTAATGTTTAAAAGTTTATGAACGGGATCTGCTGACAACTTAAGACATAGCAAAATTTGCCTAGAAATCTCTTGCCAACATAACTGCAAGTTTCCCCCAGATAGGATAAATCCCTCCCTTCCTGTCTGTGCCTATCTCAGGTCATCATTTTCTACAATACTTTTCCAAGCATTTATCTTACTTTCCGTATTATACTGTAAACTGTGGAAAACAAGGATCCTATGATTTACCTCTGTAGCCCAGAACAAACAACTCACACACACACAAAAAGCCTGTTCAATAGTCCCGTATTTCTGTTTAGGGAAATTTAGTCTTCAAAATGACCACTTCGCATTAAGTCCCGTGAGCCTCACCATAAACGTAAAATATAGCAGTTATGTTCCCATTTTGCAGAAGAGAAACCAAGGATTAGTGACTTGCCTTCGGTCACACTGCTAGTAAACTGTAGAGGCAGGATCCGACGTCATGCTTTTGAAGACTTAGCCTGGCCCCCTGCGATTCCCGAATATCCCTCTTCCCCGCGCCAGTGTCGGCCTCGCCTCCCCGGGAGCCGCGCGACACCACCAGGAACCCCCCTTGGTCTCCCACAAGCGACAGCGGGACTCGACAGGGGCCCGAATCGCTGGGCCGAGGGTCCGCACAGGCTCGGCAGGCTCAGCAGGCTCAGCGAGGGGAGGAGTCAAGGCCCGACCTCAGCCCAAGGCCTCGGGGGCCAGGGTGGGGCAGGGACCCACCTGCTCAAAGCCGGCTCCTCGTCGCTAGGTTCTTCAACCGCGTAGGGGTCGTAGTCATCCGGGAGCCGGTTCATGGTGGCCCGCAGCAGCCTAACGGACAGCGTCTCTGTTTATTCCGCCGGTCGATTCCCTAAAGCGCCCCCTACGCCACTTCCTCCCGCACTTCCGCATCCTCTTTGCGCGCTTGCGCACTCCGTCCCAGCTGGAGGAGTGGGGAGAGGGGGCGGGTCCCAGGCCCTCCACCGCTCTCCGCGGCTTCCGCTTACCTGGAAACAGCAGCATCCTTATTACAGAAAGTAATAATAATCGGCACCCTCGTAAGTGGCAGTCTTTAAGATGAACGCTCTGGCTCTATCCGCTGGAGCTGGGATACACTCTGCTCTCCTGTCCGTGGACATCAGAGCTCGAGACTTCAGCTTTTGGGTTCCAGGATTTACACCGAGGACACCATTGTCCACCGCTCTCCGCGGCTTCCGCTTACCTGGAAACAGCAGCATCCTTATTACAGAAAGTAATAATAATCGGCACCCTCGTAAGTGGCAGTCTTTAAGATGAACGCTCTGGCTCTATCCGCTGGAGCTGGGATACACTCTGCTCTCCTGTCCGTGGACATCAGAGCTCGAGACTTCAGCTTTTGGGTTCCAGGATTTACACCGAGGACACCATTGGCTTCCCTGGTTTTGAGGCCTTTGGACTTGGACTGAGCCACGCTACTGGCATCCAGTTTATAGACGGCCTGTCGTGGGACTTCTCTTCACAATCGCGCCAGACTGCGTCCTGTGAAAACCAGCTGTAACAGATCAGCTCCTCGCAGACCCAAGAACCCACACTGGAGTGCTACGAAGGCAAACGGGGAAGGTGTGTAACTTAGAGAGGATCCACTTACCTGAAGGATGCATAGCTAAACCAGACTCTAACCTGCAGAGGGAACTGTGTCCTAAGGACTCCTGGCTGGATCAGCCTGGGGTTTAAGCTGCTAGTCCAGAGGCGCAAAGGGAGCTGCATATCTTCAGACAGGCCTTACAGAGACTGAGATGGTCTACTGGACATCTTCTGTCTTTGTCCAGCCAGTACCACTTTCTACTTCATCGAAATAGCCCTAGTTCTTCTTTATGGAATAACTCCTCTCTCGTTTGCTTTCGATCCTGGGGACATTATCAATCAAGGACAGCGAATAGTTTTGCAGAGGTCGTGAGGCTCAAGCCAGGCCAGTCACAACAGCGGGCATCAGTTCTGGGAAGGAAAAGCTCTTATTCTACTACTTATTGCGGTGACAGAAGGTAAGATTGCAGCTGCTGCAGATCATGAGACCAGGCAGGGAGAGCTGAGACGAAGCCAACATAAAGAACATTAAAGACAACGGAGGGAAAGAGACACGTCCTCGATGACATCATTAGAGCCCCAGGAATTATACTTTCTTGAATTAACATAACTGTCAAATTTTTAATTAGTAAGTGAATAAATCCTTTTTTTTTTTTTTTTTTTGCTTAAAAAAAAGAAAAGATGAACACTGCATGCAGTGTCTCACATCACCTACAAAGCAGAAATCTACATGCTAAGGGACACGTTAACCTGAAATCCAGTAGGTCCCCAGCACCGATGTCCTTCCAACCTCCTCTCCTCTAGACTTTCTGCCTTCCTCTCACCGCTCGGCTCTGTACCTCATCTTTACACAGTTCAATCCTCAGTCTGACTTCGGCCCAACTGTCTACCGAAAAGTTGCCTTTTCTCGGCCTTTTCTCAGTCCCAACTTTTGCTCAGCCCTCATCTGATCCGATTTCACTCGATACTTGAGGGGATGAGACAAGTGAGAGCCTCTTGATCGTTTGAGAACGTTTCCTCCCGTTTCTTTTTTTTTTTCCTTTTTGTCTTTTTTCTTGACCGGCAACAGATCGCAACCCTCAGTGTCGCACCCGTACCGGACCGGGACCGGCAACGGGATCGCCGCAACCCTCGGTGTTGCGCCCGTACCTCGCTCAGCCAGTGAGTGGCCGGTCTGTATGTGGGATCCAAACCCTTGGCGGGAGCGCCGCCATGCTCCCAAGCAGTGCACTGTAGCAGTGCGCCACCAGGCCGGCCCTCCTCCTGTTTCTATACCAGCCTAAACTCAGGTTCCTGCCTCCTCCCTAGATATCTCTTCCCCTCTTTTTCATAATCCCATCCAGATGACTGCCCCGTCTGTACCTGGTCTCTGTCCCTCTCCTACAGTACTATGTTAGATTTCCAGTTGCCTGCTAAGATATCTCCACCTGCTTCACCACCACCTCAAGCTCAATGTGGCCCAAACCCAACTCAACATCTTCGACAGCATTCCTATACCTCAGCCATTAGCTACTTTTGACTCTTGATTTCTATTCAAGTCATTTCCTCCATCCTTACAGTAACTGCTGCAGGCAAGTCTTGGAATCTCCTTCCCCGTCCCTCCATGAGCTCTCAATTCCCTAGTCCTGTATTCTCTTAGCAATGTCTCTCTCATCCACATCTCATCTCCACACCCCTCACCTTTGACTATTGATACAGACTCCTAATTGGCAGCCTTGTTTTACTCTTTTTTGCTCTCCAATCATCCTGCTCTCCACTGGCAGAGTGACCCACTTCCAGCACAGATCTGCTCTTGATGATTTTCCTTCTTAAAAAGTGATAATATTACACCTTTACCTGCTGAACGTGTCCTCCTTAACCGTGGAATATTTGCCCTCCACAATATGGTTCAATCTACCATGCCAAACTATTTCCCACTACACTCCTACACATATTCAGCTCAATTTGCAGATTCCAGAATATTGTTATGCCTTTCATCAGTAGGCCTTTGTTTATGCTATTCTCTAGAGCACCCTCACCTTTTAATTCTAACGTCCAGTGTCCAAAGATCCATCTTCAATTCAAAGTGACTGACTGGGCAGAATGACCCTTAGGACACTGTGGGAAAGCAAAATATTTCAGCCCCAAAATATATTTCTTTGACATATTTCAAGATGGCTAACTTAGATCAGAAAAACAAGATTAGCTAGAAGACTTTTCTTTTGTGAAAAGAAATTTACATCTGTAAATGCAAACAGCCAGGCTTCATCTGAGACACTCCTCTTTTGGCTACTATCTATTTTTTGAGGGCAGCTATCAGAGTACCTGAAGTATTTTCATTTGCATACTAGATGTCTCTACCTTTAACATCTGACTTCCTTCTTTCACCTGTAACAACACCTCCCTGGAGAACTTCAGAGAAACTTGGTCTCAGGCCATTGTTCTGGGGCTTCCACCTCCCCCATTTTCTCTCTCTCATGAACACTGGTATAAAGTTTTGTTACTCCCGTTGGAATTTGGGACATTACCCTCTTGTGATTCCCCCATGCTTTGCCTTCTCCCAGCACATTAAATAATAAAATTTGTTGTGCCTTTTCTTCCTATTGGTCTACATTTGTCAGTGATTTTTATTAATGAATGTTTAGAGGTGAAGTTTTCCTTTGGCCCCTACAACACTGTTCAGCCCTGAGATGCTATAATTACAGGAACTCACACTACATTTTCTATGATGATTTTTCAGATTCCCCCTCTACATGGGATTGTTCTCTGCTTTGAAGTCTTGTAGCATAGTGTACCACTCACATGCCATGTATTTCTCTGGTTTTCAGCTATTGTTCCACCCAACCCTCTTGAGAGGTACAATACTCTCCCAAGAGTTACAGTGACGTGAAGGAGATGCCTGTTGGGGAACCTATTTTTCCTGGCCTCCTCAGGAGTATGCCCTTATGCTCTAGAAAAGTTGAGCAAATTAAATTCTTACTCCCATATATTTAAAATTAAGAGTTAGAGGGGCTGGCTGGTTAACTCAGTTGGTTATAGCACCGCTTCGTAACACCAAGGTCAAGTATTCAGTTCCCTGCGCCTGCCAGCTACCAAAATAAAAAGGTGAAATTAAGAGTTAGGGATTCTAAGGAGTTGGCTGTGGTCCTAGGACTTGTAACAGGACAAGTAAACTCTGGGGCTTAGGCTGCCATTTTGGACTGGCTGTTTGGGGTTCTATGTGCTGATAATGGGCAAGCAAAGACAAGCCAGGATACAGAGCAGAGAATCAGTGAGGCATTCCCTAACCCTCTTGCCTAAAAGTTTAAGCCCTCGATCACAACCTTTTCTCTCCATCCCTTGTTCTCTAGTCCTTAGTCCACTTTTTCCCTCTTCTACCTCATATTACTTCTTTGCTTACTGTCTCCCTGTTCCATTTCTCTGCTGCTACACAAAAACATCATCCCCAAAACTTAAGGGCTTTGAAATGACAATGATCATTTATTTTGATCACAAATCTGCAATTTCGGAAGGGATTACTATACTCCCTGATGTCTGGGGTCCTAGCTGGGGACTAAAGCTCATACCATGCATTTTTCTCCACAAGGCTTGGGCTACGTCACAACATGGCAGCTTCAGAGTAGTCAGCCTTCTTGCATGGCAGCTCAAATGTCCAAGACAGTTCCCAGAGACCCTGATAGAAGCTCCAAGGCTTCCTCTGATCTAACCTCAGAAGTCCCTGGACACCACTTCTTCCACATCTATTGGTCAAGGTAGTCACTAAGACCAGCCCAGATTCAAAGATGGGAATTAGACTCCACCTCTCAATGGGGAGGAGTAATAAAGATATAAAAGTTCTCAGTTTACTTTCTAAAAAAATTGTGGATGGCTTATGGTCTAAATACAAAATGAAGGTTGAACAGATTAAATATTTCAGACAGTGTGAATTGACTATGAAACATAACACTGAAAGTATATTTACACACTTTTTAAGCATTTTAAAACAGTTTATTTTCCAGTATTATATACAAGAGGGTCTTCAAAATGTTAATGAAAATATTGGTATTATCTTTTAATTTTATTTTTCCATGAACTTTTTGAAGTACTGTTACCAGGTGGCATATTGAGGTTCTTGGTGCATGAAAGAAGAATCTTTCATGGGACTGGCAAAAGGAAAGGAAGAGAGAGACAGAAAAGGAACATGACAGAGCTTTATTACCAAGTGAAGGTACGTGCCAAAGTGCACAGACATCTCTGCCAGAGAGAGACGCATGTGCCCTGACCTTCTCCTTTTCCTTCCGCGTCCCACATGGAAACTCCTAATGGAGTTTCTCTGCTCCTCCTGTTCCACCTAGTGAGCCAGTGCTGGCTGATCTAGTCTGAATA